AGAGTGTACATGTACTGATTCTCATCAAATAACACATCAAGCTCATCGTCTTCAATTAGAAGTCTTAATATGTCCTACAAAATACAACAATGTAGCCTAAACTCAGAGATTGATAAAGATCCTAGAACATCAAACTATCAAACTCACTCAACACTTATCAGACTCACAAACGTTTGAATCCATACATTTGGAAAAAAACATTTTAGGTTCCGTACAAGAAGGTAACATCACGGGCTAAGAAAACATGTATACAATAATAGACTTAAGCAATGAATACAAGGCATCGCTGAATCAATACACACCATGACTGCCATAAATAGAAACGATAAAACTGCCATCATAAATTCGTTTTAAAATGTATGCTATAAGTAATGTTCTGGTCAGCATTATCATACAAGAATGGGCAGAGAAAACGATTTAAAATTAGGTGCAAAAAGTAAAGAGAGACTTACCTTACAATCCATTTCGACTTCACCAAAACTTGTTTACTTCATTAAACCTGAAATATCAAAACCTAAAACGTCAGAACCATTGAACCAAATAAAAGCTAATTCTAATTCTCATAACCAAAAGCAGATTTATAAGTCTCAAAGCAAAAATCAAACTAGAGTTTATGCATAACAAAAAGCAAAACAGAGTTCATACAAAACAGAAAACACACTAGAGTTCATACAAAACAGAAAGCAAAATAGAGTTCATAAAAAAAACATAATGCAAGCCAAAGATCATAAAAAACAGAAAACAGAAAACATCTTCAAGCAGAACATCTTCAAGCAGAACATCTTCAAGCATATCTACTTTCACCAGTAGCATACTCCAGATAGAGAATCTTGTTCTCATCATCTTCATAGAACAAGAAGGTCTGACGGTTATTAGCATCTTGCTTGAGATGGTTGATAGCCGCTTTGTACAAAGGCGACCAAATCCTGATCTCAGACAGCGAGTGTAATGCCTCCATGGCTCTGAGCTGATTACAACTGAACTCAGGATGACACTCTATAATCTTGTTTTTGTTAGAAAGGACATCTGCTACAGCCTGTCCCACTTGTGCAGCCCTTGATCTCTTTCTGTTAGCTCTTGTTCTACTAGAAGATGAGGGGCAAACCGTTCTTGATTCAGCTGGAGCTGGAGCATGAGTTTCCTGAGTAGGAGGAACTTGCCTAAATGTAGCATCTGTGTCTTCAGCATCACCATCATCATCGTCGCCTTTCTGATCCACGTGGTCTGAATCGAATTTCTGATTCAAACAGTCTTCCCCTTGCTGAGCACTCCATCCTTCACCTCCACTTATGTGAACCGTTCCAAATACTTTTTCCAACAAGTCAACATTTGTTATTGGCTTCTCTCTAAGCTTTCTCGCTGCTGGCCATTCCTGAAAAACCAATACAAGAATTGAGATTCAGAAAATTGTATACAAACAAACATACATAACAATGTAGTTGAATGTACCTTAATAAGTTCACTCCACCAGTCATCCGACATATCTATACTCCCATCTGGATGAAAGCCAAGGCCAGTTCTCTTGTTAATCAGACGCTTGTATTTAGTATACTGAGTCTTGCAGGTAGTGTGTTTGATTCCAAATTTTCTCCAAGGATGCTTTTCCCCATAGGCATCATTGAATTTATCAATGATGGTTTGTCTCCCAACTTCATTGATATTTTGTTTTCTGTCATTTCCTTTCAGCTTCTCCTCAAGTCTCAGTTGGAGATA